TATATATATATATATATATATATATATAGTTATATATTTTATAATATAGTTTGGCACATTGTCAGCTGGTAGTTAAGCGTGCAGATGTGTCATTCCGGTCAACATAACCATCAGATGGTACCAGCAGGTGATCAATCCTGAAGGACTAAAAACATGATTTTGCAATTGTCCCAGCAAAAATAATAAGATTGAAGGAGGACTTACTTCATGGAGGCAGAACATGGTTTCAAACACACCCTTCTTTATCAGTTCCTCCAGGTTTTCTGATTAATAACCATACCAAAAGCAGGAAAAATCAACATCAGGGAACTCAAAATATTAAAACATCGTTAATTGTCAAAATAGAGGTGATAATATAGAGTTCTTTGAAATAAATCACACTCACCTCCTGTGTTGATGAAGGTCTGATGAAGGATGAAATGGACAATTCGGATCCTGGAGGAATAATAAATGTTGCAGTAAGAGAAAAAACCCCGGGCAGGATCCGAATGAGTAGTTTTAAACAGCATGAATAATGCCGACTGCACAGGTGTTAGTATGCAACACCCACAGACCCACCTGGCTCCCACACAGAACACAACATTTTTACATAAAACATTTTGGTTGAATCCACATTTCCCAGCTCCAACATATACTATAATATACTCCATATATTGTGTTGAGGGCATGACAGAAGTCACCAGGGCTTGAATGAACACTTTCATTCACGTAGACAGTGAGGTGACTGGTGATGAATCTGCATCAGCTCCAGAAAGTGTGTTCAGCCTTATTTTTTAATCAAGTTGTATTTGGCTTGTTGCATTATTGCATGGTAGGGCACACAGAGCAGCAGAGGTGGGACCAAGTCATTGTTTTGCAAGTCCGAGTCAAGTCTCAAGTCTTTGTGCTCAAGTCCGAGTCAAGTCTCAAGTCAGGATGGGCAAGTTCAAGTCAAGTCCATTCCTAAACTTTGACAAAACGAGTCTTAAACAAGTCATTGTGTGCTTTTCACCAAATGTAATGACATCGATCAACAGAATAATATTTAATAATCAAACTGCCCTTTATTAGTCACATCAATAATTTAATAATCAATTTTCTCTCTGCTGGTAAAGTAACGTGTTTTTTTCTATTTTAAGAGGGATCAGTAAGGCAAGGCTACCGTGACGGTTTGATTCAGAAGGAGTTTAATTGATAAGATCCCTGTTGTTGAGGTAACCAGAATGTTTATTTCCACTGTGTACAACATGTTATAAGGGACCCACAATCTATCTTTATGCAAGGGATAATGTGCAGCGAAGCGGTGTCTATGGGGAAAAGAACACCCGCATCTAGATCCCTCTGCAGGTGGTACTTTAAGTATATTTTGATGCTAATACTTTTGTACTTTTACTGTAACATTGTTGAATGCAGGACTTTTTTATTGTACAGCAATCCTACACTCAGGTACTTTACTCAAGTACAAGATCTGAACTTCCAAAAGAGTGGTTACCACAAAAAAAAACCCTGCTCTGAAGGTTATTTTCATTTTACAAACCCTGCACTAAGCTTTGCTTTCTCCAATATCATTGAAATGCAGCCAGATGCTTCTTCTTTTTTCGGTTTTCGCTAAATGTCTTGACTTTTTCCGACGCGCTTGCATTTAAATTCGGCTCCCCGTGTCCCTGTAGCTGGTCTGTCCAACTACACCTGCTGTCTTTGGAGCGTCTGCCCCCCACCCTTCTTTCACATAATGGTATGATCCTAGTGTGTCCTCGCATATGATTGGCCGCTTGGTGGCTCAGCAAAATAAAGTCCCGCCCCTGCCTGCAAGGATTCTCAGCAAGAGTAGGAGCGGCTGAAGATTCTGCTCTCCCCGACGGGAATCTGCTCTTCTAGCAGCATCTTGCAATCGGCGTGCTGGAGACCCTTAATTACATTTTCAAGTCACCTCAAGTCAGAAGGCTCAAGTCCAAGTCAAGTCATTGGTGTTCAACTCCAAGTTGAGTCGCAAGTGTTTTGTGATTTTGTCAAGTCGAGTCCAAAGTCATCAAATTGGTGACTCGAGTCTGACTCCACACCTCTGCAGAGCAGTACTATCTGTTTAAGAAAAAAAGCAAGGAAGTTAAAGCAGTGTTGTTGGACAAAGTTGCTGCAGACTTTCATTAGGAAGAATGTTATGAAGCAGCATTCATCTGATGCCCTCTGATCAGTGTTCATAAAGGAACAAATATGCTGTTTCTCCTTAAACAAGGACTTCGGTCAGAGCAGTGATACAATCAAATCTATATGTATATGTTTATATTACCTGGTAGCCTGGGTGACAGAGCCCCTTACATCTCCACACCAGTTGCAGGAGTCAGAGACTTTGAGCAGGTATTGGTAGTCTTTGAACATCTCATTGGGAGCACGGATGCCAAAAAACACTTTGTCATCATGTTCAATCCTCTAACACACAAAAACAGCACACACAATAAAGGACACTGTCTTCTTTGATTCATACAATCCTTATCAGTACATCGAGTCAGGTGTCAGGTCACAGTGTTTTAAAGAATTGTCTACGGTGTTGTTGAGTGTATGTAAGTCGCTTTGGGTAAAAGCCTCAGATAATGATATGTAATGTGTAACGGAGGCAGACTCACTTTAACTGTGATGTTTTTCTCTTCTAGCTTCTGTATGAAGGCTTTCTGTCTCTGAGCCTTCTGGTCCCTTTCATCATCCACCTGATGGGCCACCAGTACATAGTCATATGTCTTCTGGGTGGGCTGTTCAAAAAACACAACATATTGTTCAACATTGTTAAGCAGCTCAAAATAAGTATTAGACTTAGTTTGGTCCAGTTAAAGGAAAGAGAAAAATAAAACAAATGAAAGATGTTAAACCTCAACTGTAAACAGTCAAATGCATTACAGATCTTTGCAAAAACAGGTTTTGGTCAAACATTTCTGCATTGCTTAATGGAATACTCACGTCTGATTGGTCCATTTGGACATTCTATGGTGCAGCAGACTGTTACTAGAGACGCTGTAGGACCATATACAATCAGCTGAGAGAGATTTGGAAAATGTAACGTTTAATAAAAATAAACTAATGTTAAAATTTGACCAGGGTGAGCTTGCGCTGATATTCTTTCTGACGACTGTTTGGTCCAACCTGGTATCACGGCTAGACGTGAACATGTCCCGTTGGTCCACTGGGAGACGTCAGGATGACACAATTTCATCGCCTCAAAACGTCACAGGATTGTTAACCATTGGAGAAATACCCGGACGTTGACAAGCAAGCCTCTATCACGACTTTTGGGTTCACTATAACACAACATTTTGTGGGGAATACGAAGATTTGTTCAGGTCTCACCAGGGAAATGTATATACCGTAATTTTCGGACTATAAGGCGCACCTGAATATAAGCCGCAGCAGCGGCATACCACTCTCGGTTCCACTTTTACTTTTGCGCGCTACCTGTCTCACTCTTTTCCGGCCTCCAGCTTTTCCTGCTGGAACCCGCCGCTTAAAGGTGGGGGTCCGCGGACCGGCCATAGAGCCCATAGAGTTAAAGGTGTTGGCCGTTAGCTGTAAAAATCCATAGATTAGCCGCACCGTTATATAAGCCGCAGCGTCGAAAAATAGGGAAAAAGGCGCGGCTTATAGTCCGAAAATTACGGTACTTAGAACATGGATTTGGATTTAATATGAAAATGAATAATTATACATATTTGTGCTTTCTTTCTTGGCAGAGTCTGTGCTTGCATGTGTGTGGGCATGAGTGTGGGCATGAGTGTGGGCATGAGTGTGGGCGTGTGTGTGTGTGTGTGCGTGTGTGTGTGCAAGTGTGTGTGTGTGTGTGTGTACCCTGCAGGGCG